TGTGTGTGTGTGTGTGTGTGTGTGTGTGTGTGTGTGTGTGTGTGTGTTCTTAATAAAGCACAATCTGACTTCCTCATTGGTTGTCACGCAGTGGTTCTTCATCTGTTATTCTTAACTGCACTACAATTAGGTCAGGTACTGGTGAAAACCCGTACCGATGACTCGGCTAATCTAATAACGGCCGTTATTGTTCAGGCGAGTAACTCTGGTCTTTTCTCCCGCAGTGCTCCAGCATCCCTCAACGACACCACTGTCCTCCACGACCCCTGTCTAGGCACCTATGGTGGCCCCATCTTCCCTTGGCTGGCCCTCGGGGGTTACGATGGTGAGCTGGATTAACACCTTTTTGAGGGCAGAGAAGAATTTGGTCTCCAGTTATTAATGTGGTTGATAACTGAGGACTGTTTTTACGCGACATTTTACAATGAACGTGTCTTCATTACAGAAACCAACTACAACAATGCCACTGCTCTAGTGATCACCTTCCCACTCAACAACTACCTGAACGACTCCGTCAGGGTGGGCAAAGCTCTGGCATGGGAGAAAGAGTGAGACAACCACCTGTTTCTACAGAGAGAGCTCTTTTTAGGCTTCCAAAAAATCACTAATAATGATGTCTTTGCATTGACTTGAATTGTGTTTTTTGTTTTTTTTGTTTGTGTGCATTTCAGATTCATCAAGTTTATGAAGAACTTCAAAAATCCTAACCTGACCATAGCCTTCAGTTCTGAGAGGAGTATTGAAGATGAAATAGACCGAGAGAGCAACAGTGACATCAGTACCATAGTAGTCAGCTATGCCATAATGTTCATCTACATCTCCCTGGCCCTGGGTCACATCAACAGCTGCAGGAGAGTGATGGTAAGAAATTCCTTGTGTCATGCATTTTATTTAGCTCTTAAGTGTCCGTTACCGTAATCCATATCCAAAATAGTTTACAGATAACTCGGTGTAACTCTTCTTTCTTGTCTGTGACATAAGAGCTTGACACACTTCTTTGATTCAACATGCTGGACAACTTCCTGCTACTCGAGCAGCTAAAGGGAGGAACATGACTGATCCTCTGTCCCCTTTTGCCTCTACAGGTGGATTCTAAGATTTCTCTGGGTATAGCAGGGATCCTGATTGTGCTCAGCTCGGTGTCCTCCTCACTGGGGATCTTCAGCTACTTTGGCATCCCCCTCACCCTCATTGTGATCGAGGTCATTCCTTTCCTGGTGCTGGCTGTTGGGGTGGACAACATCTTTATTATAGTGCAGACATATCAGGTAACCTCCACAATCCATTCAACTGTTACATATTAACCCATCTGGTTTAATGCGTACGTTCACCTTAATTACTCGTGCTTTGAATTTATTCACTTGAAAAGTGACATTAAACCTACTAAAAGTTTCCATCTGTGCTTCTGAACAGAGGGATGAGCGGATGCCTCAGGAGGAACTTCACCAGCAGATTGGTCGTATTCTCGGAGACGTAGCCCCGAGCATGTTCCTCTCCTCCTTCTCAGAGACAGTCGCCTTTTTCCTGGGTAAAATACATCACCTATTTAATAGACACGTACACAGGCAATGTGAAGTAAACATTATGTCTTCTAAGTGATAATATGCCACCTTAAATATAAAGAGATTTGTATGGACAGGATTGACTCGGTGCCATAGTTTCCTGGTGAGTCACGTGCTGATCAAAGTGTTGACCTTTTCCTTCTGTAGGAGCTCTTTCCAGCATGCCCGCAGTGAGGACTTTCTCTATGTTTGCTGGCTTGGCCGTTTTCATTGACTTCCTGTTGCAGATCAGTTGCTTTGTCAGCTTGCTCGGATTGGACGCCAGGAGACAGGAGGTGAGACTGGGAGGAAATGAGTGTGACATAAATGATTACACTGGGAGGGGTTAGAGATGGCAGTTTGGGAACTTTGCATGATTTCCTGAAGATTTAACAACTACAAATGTGATAGAAAAGTTTTCATCTCATTTAAATGATTACTCCTCTCACACACACACACACACACACACACACACGATTCAAGCTTTAAATCGGTTACACTTACCCAATGCTGTGTGGTCTGTTGTGTTTGAAAAGGGGAATCGACTCGACATCTTTTGCTGTGCGAAGCTGCCGGAAGGTCAGGAAACGACGACGGACAGTTTCCTCTTCTGGTTTTTCAAGAAAATCTTTGCCCCGTTCATCCTCAAAGAGTGGGTCCGACCGATCATAGTAAGTACCTCAGTGACACTTTGCCGGTATTATTTCAATGCGTTTATTCACTTTGACTCATATTTTTCATCGAGTAGATTAAAGTGGTTTTCTTTTCGTCTCCCTTTGTTCAGGTGGCAGTGTTTGTGGGAATGCTCTCCTTCAGTATTGCTGTGGTGAATAAAGTAGAGATCGGACTGGACCAGCAACTCTCCATGCCTGATGTATGTTTTTGTATTTTCTACCATCGCTCTGTGTTCATGGATTGTGATTGAATCTTTTAATAGATGTGTGCAAAGTAGAATGGTTGTACTATTTATAGTAGCATATATATCAGTGATGTCATTCTATCATCTCACTAAATTAATCAATCAGCAAATTTTCCTTAATGTTGCATTCTTGCATGTCTTTCCCCATACAACATGTGCCTTGGTTAGTGTTTCTGTGCTCATGGAGGTCTACTCTGATGATCTGTCTCTTTATCTAGGACTCGTATGTGCTGGACTACTTTAAGAACCTGAGCATGTATCTCCACACCGGAGCTCCAGTCTACTTTGTGGTAGAGGACGGTCTTGACTACAGCAGTCCAGAGGGCCAGAATGCTGTGTGCGGAGGAGTCGGCTGCGGCAACAACTCTCTAGTCCAGCAGGTCTACAGCGCTTCACTCATCAGCAACTAGTAAGTCCGGGCTATGAAGAAATTACATCACAGGTGGTTTATTTGCGCAAGACAAAGTTGATCATTTGTGCTGCAGGATGAGCCCAGAAGTTAGCTTTGCACTGGTTCCCTCTGGTTCAGATTAGGCGACACTCATGAAAGGACAAATCATCTGTCTGATCTATTCAACTTCACTTCTCCTTTTTACTCCCAGCACAACCATTGCCTTCACGCCGTCCTCTTGGCTCGATGACTACTTTGACTGGGTGAAGCCGCAGTCCAGCTGCTGTCGATACTACAACGCCAGTGAGGACTTCTGCAATGCCTCTGGTACATTTTTATCTAATGTCAACATGCTTTGAACCCTCATTGCCCTGCTGTCACATGCTGCTGTTAGACATTTTAGAGACAGTTTTTCATACACAAAATGAAGTGGAAATAATATTGTTTAAAGCACATAATCCATAGCATTAATGCAATTATTGTTCAAGTAATATGCATTGTATTTAAAACTAAAACTCCGGTATTGCAATACTTAAACTTTATGAATGACTAACGCAAACCTGTTCAAGTTTTCAAAAAGGGAAATGTTGGTATTCTGTTATTAATGTCCCTGGTTAATAAAACGACTGGCATACAGTTAAAAATCACCTGCGTGTCAACAAGATGCAGTTTATTTGAGGAACTGGCAAAACTCCTCGTTCACATGGGATATTTACTGTACATTGAGTTGGGCAATTTAGCTGCATGCAGTTTCAGGAAGGATATGACAATGTTAATAGAGCCATGGTCAGTATTTTTAGTATTGTGTAACTTTTTTTTTTTTTTTTAGTTCATGGCTTTGTCTCAGCACAAATTTGTATATTTCTTCAATCATGTGGGATGGATATAAAAATGAATATTGTTATGATATTGTTTCCCAGTGGTGAATCCGTCCTGCGTCCACTGTCGGCCCATGACTCCCGAGGGAAAGCAGCGGCCAGAAGGAGAAGACTTCATGCGGTTTCTACCCATGTTTCTGTCAGACAATCCAAACATCAAGTGTGGAAAAGGGTAACTTCATAGCTCTGCTGATGATTGTACTTTCTCTCTGACATGTCATTGAATACTTTCACTTTAACGTCTGTTTATTATGTTGTTTTTAAGAGTATCTCAGCACAGTTGTACCAGTTTCGTTGTGGTTGGTAATGTCCCCCTCACGTATCTCTCTCTCTCACAATGCGTCAATGCTCCTCCAGCGGCCATGCAGCCTACGCCACAGCAGTGGACCTGTATCCCAACAACACCGGGGTCGGAGCCACTTACTTCATGACTTACCACACCATCCTGAAGGAATCCCCGGATTACATACACGCTTTAAAGATGGCCCGAGTCCTGGCTGATAACATCACTCAGTCCATTGGCCACAAAGTGTTTGCCTATAGGTAAGTCCTGTTTCACTACATGTAGTGCTCTCTTTAATAGTATACATTACATTATAGTTATTGTGGTTTTTGTGACCTTAAGTAGGTGTTTCTCAGTTTCCCCCACTGCCACTGGTTCTTCTTGTTGAAGTGTTCTAAGTTGAAATACTTGTTCCTGAGGTTTTTCTTGTTTTCAAGTCAATGTTCAAGGACATTGCAGGGAGGAGGGGGAGGGGGAGGGGGGGGGGGGGGGTTGTTAAGTACGTCACAGATAAGCCCACAGCAAAGAAGACATTATAAAAGGCAATATAGCTGATGTTTGACCTCGAGTCCCGAATTCATCTTGCTTCCAATAAGTTGACTTACGAGTCTGTATGAGTAATGCACGACAGGATAATTCCAAAGATAGAATCCAAAAATGAATCGCAGTACAAAGACATCATGTTCTGTCCATTTCAAAATAGCAGTTGTCAGCGCTCGTTAAGGCGTGTTCTCTGAATTGTATTTTCCTTCTCTTTTTCTTACAGCATCTTCTATGTGTTCTACGAGCAGTACCTCACCATTGCGCATGACACGGCTGTGAACTTGAGCCTGTCCCTGGCGGCCATATTTGTAGTGTCGACCGTGTTGCTGGGCTTCGAGGTGTGGTCGGCCGTGCTCGTCAGCGTTACCATCGCCATGATCCTGGTCAACATGTTTGGAGTCATGTGGCTGTGGAACATCAGCCTCAATGCAGTGTCCCTGGTGAACCTGGTCATGGTGAGAAGCAACATGGAACACCGGAATGTTATCCTGAGCACAAAAACAAACGTGTTTTTAGTGAAGCAAGAAAAAAAAAAAAAAAAAAGATTAATGTTATCATTATTGGTCAAATTTTAACATTTCTGCCTTCACCACTGAGTTGCCTCCTGTCCTCTGTTGCAGTGCTGTGGGATCTCGGTGGAGTTCTGCAGTCATATTGTGCGAGCGTTTTCCATCAGCGTGAAGAAGAACCGAGTGGAACGGGCTGAGGAGGCCCTGGCTCACATGGGCAGCTCGGTAAGGCTCGCTTTACTACTCACCAATTTCACCAGAGGAAGCTTTTCCAATACATGCAAGTCAGGAGCTTTTAGTCTTGAACATGTTTTTTGTAGACTGGTAATGTGGATATCGGTGTAAATAAGCTCGTGGGGCAAAATAAAGTAATTTTTGTGAGGAAAACCTAATTTACATACAGTAACACATACACATTTAACTGAACATTTTTTTTTTTAAATAAAATGATTTGCTTCTCTGTACATTAATACAAATTTTGGTCATCATCTTATGACACTGGTTCATTTTCGCAGGTGTTCAGTGGGATCACACTAACAAAGTTCGGAGGAATCACGATCCTGGCTCTTTCCAAGTCGCAGATCTTCCAGGTCTTCTACTTCAGGATGTACTTGGCCATCGTGCTGCTGGGGGCCACGCACGGCCTCATCTTCCTACCCGTGTTGCTCAGTTATATCGGTCAGTAACGTTGCTCGTTTAAAGGACTAGACACGAAGCATACAAGATTCTACCACAGATTTCATTTTTGAATTAAATCTAACATGTTCTGATTTATTCATTTTTTTTCTTTCACAGGTCCCTCGGTGAACAAAGCGAAAGTGTTCGCCGCTAACAAGCGCAACGCTGGTACAGAAAGGGAGCGCCTCCTCAACTAGTAGCAGGCTGTCTGGGACAATGAACAATGAACTATTTGTCTGAAAGAGACTGTGTGGGTGTGAGCACAAGCCATTTCTCTGATTACTGACACACTAATCATCATCGTCGTCGTCGCCACTACTATGCACGGATTTAACTCAGGAATAAACTTGTGAATAGGGAGTGCCAGAGGACTAGTCCAACTGCAAACCTACAGATTTTCTCAACAGACTTGGACACCCCCCCCCCCCCCCCCCCTCCTCCTCCTCCTCCTCCTCCTCCTCCTCCTCACACTACAGTAAAAAGGCCTGACTTCAGCATTTTTAGCATGAGCAATAATTCCTCTTTGATTGTGGAAGTAGAGGAGACCCCAACATCAGTTTACAGACAACCTGCAGTCAGTTCCATATGCTATGAGCTATTGTGATTGGGAAAACTCAAAAGGGTAAAACTGGTTAGTTTTTTCATATTTTTTTGTATATATATATATATATATATATACATACACACACACACACACACCAGAAATGATGTACTGGTGTGGGACTTTTGTTGAACTATTTGATATTATGAATCATGGAACACGGCACACAGCGGAGCTAACGGATAACAATATCACGGGCCCTCATGATACCTGGCATCAACATCGTACACGGGGTTCACACACTGTATTCTAAAGCAGGACAGCTAGACGTAGCAATAATGTGCTTCCTGTGCCACTTTGGACGCTAATGTTTTCACTCCATCACCAAATGAGGTTTGTGTTTTCAGCTTAATGGGTTTTTGGTTCACATCCATGTTGGGAGAGCAGTGAAGGAAGAAGAGGTTTTGATTTCTACGTGGATGTGGACGTAAACACCCTCAAAACTGAAACCTCAAAACTCGGTGTTGCTTGTTGCTCTCCAAACTGCATCCTGCCATGTCGTTTATTTCCACATTGGAAGCTATTTAAATGATCTGGAGCAACATTTCATTTTAGAGCTAGTTGATGTGTCTTAAGTGTCCTTTTTGAAGTGTTTGCAGAACTATATTGCTTTTACTAAAACCCTGTGTGTGACATCAGTCAAGATACATGTGGATGCCAGGTGAAGAGGGTGCTATAAGGCGATTGTGCGAGACGTTTTTTTTAGTTCCTGAACAGAACATTTGTTGTGTAAAGAGGAGCTTTACTGTAAATGGCTTACACAGGGCTAATTTCGACGTTTTCATTCGTCAGCTAGAGTGTGTTGGTATAGAAAACGGTAGGGTACAGTCCTGAATTTTTCATTCCATTTAAGTTATTTTTTTGTTTTAACCATTACCATTTTGTTACCATGCATAGCTTTCTTAAAAACAAAACGAACCCTTCCAGTGATGTTTCAAGTAAAGGCATCGCTTTGTTTTCAAGGAAAACTAAAAAACATCCCAGAGCCATGGGCGTCACCGGCACCACAACACGTCCCAGATGATCGCCAACTAGTTAAATTTGAAAAGGGTTGTGACATCAGTGGAAGAGGATGTTAATATTTTACCCAAGCTGCTTAATATCTGCTGGGGTCTTAAAGGAACAGTACCCTTCCTTGTTTGTAGTTAGGTTTTTTCCTTTTTTTGGAATGTAAGAAAGAATTGTCACTGCAGTTTAAACCTAAATGTGAAAGAAGTTTCTGAGCAAACGACTAAATAATTTGTATCGTGATTAACGAAGAATTGTGCTTGTTAATAACAGTGCTGTACATTGATAACGACAAATCATCTCTGACATTAGACAATATCACTGTGGGGAAAAGAGACTGAACCAAGCATTGAATACTTTAGATTTTAACCCTTTTAACGGATATTAAATACCTCTCAGAAAAGTATGTGCTGCAGCCTGCCTCTCCTTGGTATTTGTTGTGGAATTACATGTTATTTAATATGATAGTACCCTAGTTAGAATGGGGTACATAGAATAAACACTGAAAATATTCCCATTAAGTGGGACGTCATCGTTCAGCTCCTTGTTTAAGGTTGGTGTAACTGCAGTGGATGCTTCTGTTGCATAGAACAGACAGTTATATTCAGACTGACCACTGAGTGGCGCCTGAATCTGTTCATGGAGCTCTGTCTGCATCGTGCTCTCAGTAATGTAGTGGGAGTGAGCTAATTGTTATGTCTTGAACAGCAGCAGTCTTGCCATGCTCTCACATAGTCGGTGAATTTCATTCCTGCAGGGTGCGAAAATTTCAAATGCCAACTCTACAGAGCATATGAACTGAGGGCATCTTAATAGAGCGGCTTGTTCGGGGTCTAAATCTGCAGCTTTTGGGATATTTACGCCAAAACTTTGACAGCACATCAGTCACTCGCACCCCCATTTGAAAGTGGCTGCCAAAACCCGCAGCAATGTACTTCCTCCCAGCGTGTGTTGTGTCTGTCTGTCCAGCCCTGCTGTCACACAAGCCTCCAGCTCATGACTTATTTGTCCGCTGCCCTGTGAGAGCGGGGACTGTTCTTTGAATCTCGCTGAGATATTCATTTCCTCTGCAGGTCTGCTGTGCTGTCTGCAGGGGAGGAGGATATACCTGTTGTGAGAGCACTGTTATGTAAGACTTGCGAGGTCCGCCTCTCACCAGACTCTGACCTATCCCCAACTTTTGTCATGTCGCAAAAGCACCTAAACTGCAAGTTCAACATGGTGTGAAACACATTTTAGGATCTAAAATAGAAACTGAATTGAAAGCTGACAAATATAACTGAATACAATAAGGTTACGCTCACATTGTTTTGGCTACAAAACAATCGGAAATGAATAGCCCCGCTCATGAGTATTCTGAGGATTGTATTGTATTTTTATGCTATTTTAGATATCAGGTGATGAAATATAGTGTGTATGATGAAATACACACTATACTTTTTTTTTTTTTTTTTTTTTTTTAAATACAATACTTGATTTTTGTTTATACATAGTTTACATTCTTATGACCTTATTGACATACTATACTATGACTTTTTTCAAAATACCTTTCTTGATAAGCTATGCTATAACGTTCGATTTTTTTAGATTTTTTTTGGACAGGTTATACTATGACATATTTTGACATCAATGCTATGACTTTTTAATTACTTTGACATATTTTACCGTGACTTTTTTCGACGTACATACACATTTTATGACTTCATGGCATACTGTACTATGATTTTATGACACACACTAACATTGTTATGGCTTACTGTGCTGTGACATTCTTATGACATCTGCTTCTGAAACTCGTTGGGTAAAAGTACGTGGACTGTGCTCTTTTCAAATCAAGTCCTATGTATGTCCACTAGCCCTTCCCTGTGCTTCCTCCCACATCAATAAATAAGTGTAAGAAGCGTTTAATGTTCTGCTTTGCGTCACTGGTTTTATGTTACAGTGAGTTCAGTTGACTCTGAAATAGACTCTTGGGGTGGAACAGAAGGGATTGGGTAGCCTCGTCAAACACAACGAGAGGATCAGATTTTCAGGTCAACCTGCAGTGGTTTCCCCTCGTCTTGACCACGGTCCACGTTGCCGTTAAAGTGAAGAAAGAAGTCTGGGGATTTGAACAGATATACTTGCCTGTTAAGCTTAGAAACATGCCTGTACTATATGTACATTTAATATTTGTAATAAATGTATGATTTGTATAGTCAAAATTGTAATATTGCTGCAAAAGAGAATCCATGATTAAGGAAATCAAACAGTTTCACACCCATGTTTTTGGTATTTAATGTGCCACAATCCACTTCCTTGTTTACAAACTACTATAAATGGCGGAAAAGCCCTGAGTCACAGTGTCATGACAGGAAGGGGGCAAAATGCCGTTTCAGCCAAATGTTATTTTAAAGGGAAGAGCAATAGGCCGCAGCTTGCCCTAAACGACGGTACACATATTTTCACAATGAGGGTCACTTCTGTGTGAGCAGGGCTCAGGAAGGGCTGTCAATAGACCCCTTTATGAGGCGGTGCAGGGGGAATTAGGCCGTCAATGGAGGGGACTAAGCCACGTATGCCATGTGTCCACACTCGACCCTGTTCTGTTTGTTGTGATGGCAGCACGAGACCGGTGTGACTGTGGGCCTTGTTTATGTTGGATGCGTGTCGGGAGAGTTCCCTCTCGATGAGAAACCGACCGCTCAGATTGCATCAGAGCAACAGGTGCAATCCATTTCTATAGTCAAAACTTCTGGGGTCACACCTGAGTTACTGTATTGAAACAATGAGTCTTAACAGTTTAAAATATGAGTTGTGCATTTGCAAGACAGAGGTTTCATAATCCTTACCAGGCTATAGTCTCGGGGGACAAGTTTCCAGCTACCCAACGGTAGCAACAACCAGGAGTCTACTTAGCCTCCCAGCGAAGTAGACTCCTGGTGGTGGGGAAGACAAAATGAAAATACAAATCACTTTCTCAAGTCTACCACTTTGGATTTAATTCATTAAACAAACTATTAAAACGTACATGGATCATACAGGCCCCGGTTAGTGAGAGTAAACACAAAGATGGCTGATGCCAACTATAGGTCGATGTCACATGTGAAGATTATAAAAAGGTAGCAGTGGGTTTTTTTTACCTGTTCTCAGAGATTCAGCTTTTTTAAAATCTTGCATATCCTGCTGTTGGCTTTTTTATTTGTGTATATATATATATATATACTCCAGGACCCCGTAACATCACTGTTGGGTGTGAGTTCAGGTGCAACAAACAGGCTTTAAACCTTCCACCAGAGAGAGCAGCAAAACACTGCTTTTCAACCTGGTGTTAAGTTACATTGGCTTCAACTGTGTGTTCACACAAAAGGCGTGAATTGAGGCAGAGAGGGTAGTTTTCCGTTCACTCAATAATACACGCTACATCAGGTGAAGCAAAAACATGTCAGAGTCTCGTTTTGATTGAACAAGCAAAGCAATTTATTTACAAACGTACACAGGTAATAAGTGTCGCCCATGAGTCTTCAGTGTGCATCTTTTAGCGAAATCTTTGGGCTTGCAAACAGAAATAAGATCAGTATTTTCTCACCTTAAAATCAGCACAATTCTTGCTTTTTTCAACAATTTGGTTTAATGTTGTGATCATTTCAGCTAAAATATCATCAATACTTGGAGCAGCATTAAATACCTTTTTTTTCTTCTCTCAATACTCTGTGGTAATGTGTGAGACAATTTCAAGATAATCAAAACAAAAAAATAAAATCAAGTTGAGATACATGCCAAATGATGGAACAGTATTTTTGAAATTGGTCACATTGGTTGTCAGTTTTCAATTTTTTGTTTTCTTTTTCAAACAACTTAGCTTTCAAATCAACAAATGCTGATTCAAGTTACATGCAAATGTTTGGTCCGTCATTGATCCCTGTTGGGATCTGGTTTAGATTTTACTTCTCCTTAGAGGTCAGAGGTCAGGTCAGATAAAGTGTCCCTGAAGCCTGAAGGGACAGGGTCTTAGTCCTCACCCTCCAGGCGAAAGACATTTTCCCTCAACACTAGAGCACCCTGCTGCCAATCCTGATCACGGTTTAATGGCATCTTGGCACTCAAAGACCTCTTCAACTCCCTCCCTGACCCCGTTACAGCACCGTAAATGTGCGAGCAATACACTCTAACATAGAGCACAGGAAATGTGACATTAATAAAAGTGGGTCTGGTCTCTGTAGATCCATAGCAAGCATTTGACCCGTAGAAAATGAATGGAATACTTCAGTGAAAATAGGAAGTCCCATTTTGTCTGCAAGCACCTGTATGCAAACAATCAATACTTTTCATGCGGATTAGTTGTGGCTAGAAACTGTGAATATACCATGAGAGAGAAAATTCAAACGGTCCATTCAAATGATTGTGGTGTTTATGAACACAGCTTACTTTTCAGGGTTAGTTTATCAAAACTCTGAAAAAATGTCTCACAATAATCAAAAAGTGCACTTTTAAGACGACGACTTATGGAAAGATGAGTCACTCTGAGGAAGTCCAGCCAAAACAAGCCACTTAAAAGGCTTTTCTTTCAATGTTATGCAGGTTAGGCAGCAACCAATCATATCAGATTTTTATAAAAGCGAGATTAATGAAAAGAGATGATAAAAATGTTACAATCGTTGGTTGATTTAACTGAGATACAAAAGTTCACCATCAGATTCAAACAATAAAAGCTCTCTTAATCAACAAGAGAGCTGTGAAATGTACAAAGTGAAGATGAAGACGTAAGAACATGCAAACTAGAAAAACAACCTGTTTCAACCCCCTTTCAACGGTTCAACCCTTTTTTTTTCTTTTTTTTTTTTCCCAGAAGTCTGTGTAGTGATGATGAATGTAGAAGTCAAACAATGGAGGAAAGTTTTAGAAATGCGTGTTCCCTTTGGCTGATTTCCGGTCTCTGAGAGGAAGGAGAGTGTTGTCGGCTGTAGTTGAGAGACCGGCGGTACCTTAGGGCTGTCAGACGGGGGG